GCGCCAGTCTGGACGCTCTTTTCCGGCTTTTCCCCAAGCCGGAAAAAAAGCGGCGGACATGTTTATTTAAATCCCGTGGGGGATATTTAAATCCCCCGTGGATTTCCCTATTCCAAAGTTCTAAATTAGCATGCCTCTTCCGAAGAAGGGGCCAGTGTAGACGTAGCCTTAATATCCCAAGAGTCTGCAATACTGGGAAACAGAACCTAGTGCTATAGAACCTCTGACACAAAGCTCACTGGTAAGAGGGGTGAAGCAAAATACAGGACTATGTAGCACTTTAAAGACTAACAAGATGGTTTATTAGATGATGAGCTTTCATGGGCCAGACCCACTTCCTCAGATCAAATAATGGAAGAAAATAGTCACAACCATATATACCAAAGGATACAATTTAAAAAAAAACCAAAAAAACAAAAAAAAAACCCCACAGAGTCCAATCCCCAATCCCAACTAAATCGTCCCAGCCAGGGATAATTGGGGAAGCTATCTTTGTAATGGGTAAGGTAGTTGGGGTCTTTGTTCAGCCCCCCCGCGGAGAGTGTCGAATTTTAGCATGAATGCAGTTCAGAGGATTCCCTTTCAAGTGCAGATTTGAAAGTCTTCTGGAATAGGATGCAGGTGATTAAGTCGTTGAGACAATGTCCTTTCTGGTTGAAATGGCAAGAAACTGTTTTTCTTTGTGATCCTGTCTAATATCTGTTTTGTGGGCATTGATCCTTTGGCGAAGTGTCTGAGACGTTTGTCCAATCTACATAGCAGACGGACACTTTTGGCACATGATAGCATAAATTATATTTCTGGATGCACAGGAATATGTGTTCTTGATCTTATAACTTACTTGGTTAGGTCCAATAATGGTATCAGCAGAGTGAATATGTGGACAAAGCTGGCAACGGGGATTTGAAAATAAAATAATTACATGGAATCAGCAACAATATTAAATGCTATCAATTACATGAAGTAGTTAATAAAAACATTTTTGATCATGAAAAAGATTATTTAGCAAGTTAGTTTATCAACACCTACAAAACAACTCTTAACAGAGAGAATGTGCAAAAAGTTTGATGATGTGAAATACATTTTGCACATCAGACCTACATCCAATGAAATGAACAGATAAAAGTAACTTGGGAAAACAGATAACAATATGCTTATAAAAGTACACAAGAGGAGAGTGTTGCTAATAAGCAAGAATAGATAATGCCAGCTTTCTAACTAAACAAAATGAAAATGACCTAAAGAAGAAAAACAGATCCCACCAAAAAAATAAAAATAGCGTACTTCTCCCTAACCCCAGAAATCAAACCCAGAAACCATAAATTCAAAATTATAATTTGGTAGATGTAATGTCCATAGGTGGAATTGAACTGGGATCTCTGGAGTTTAATGCATGAGCCTGTATCAGCATGAGCTAAACAGCAGCTGCTGCTTAGCTAATGTCTAGAGGAAGCTCATTACTCTCTCTGCCTAGATCTACCCTATACCAGGCAGGTCAACTTAAAGTACATCATCAGCTTACCTTAAGCCAAGCCGCAGCAGCATCTACACATGCTCCTGTCAGCTTCCCTTACTCCTTGCAGAATGAGGAGTACCAGATGCTGCTGGGAATTGTCCTCAGTGTTTGATTTGGAGGTCTACACTAGACCTGCTAAATCGAATGCTCAAAGATCGACCTCTGGAGGGTCAATCTTCTTCATAGTGTAGACATGTCTTCTAAGTGGTCTCAGTGCCACGAGATGTGACAGTACACCATACACAGTAGGTGTGTGGTTATATAGACACAGAAGGAAAATATTTAATGAAAACTACTTTTCTTCGAGGAGTAGTTATCAGTCAAAAGGAATTGATTCTTAGGTACACGGTGACAACTTTATGCCACTGTGAAAACACAAAACTGCTCTAAAGCCAGCTTACTCAGCCTTTGACAGTTTTCCCCAGCCTTTGACAGTTTTCCTCTGGCAGCATAGAGCCACAAGAGTGGCTCCTACACAATTTCCTTTCCAGTTGCAGGCATAGTTGAGAGGTCCCTATGTCTCACTGATCACATGATGTAAGAATGGCTGTAAGAGTAATGCTACAGTAGCTTTTCTGGTTGCTGTTATTTATATTGGCACTATACTATATGAAATTTACTCCAAAAGAGCTTGCATCTGTTCAAGGTTCTCAAATTCTCACGTAGTTAATTTCCATTGAATATGCTTATGTCAGTCATCACCTATATCACGTGCACTAGTATGAAGTAATAATACACACACTCACCAAAGTAAACAGTGCTAGAGTGAAACGCTAGTTGCCCTTTTGCTACTCTTGTACCTCTTTCCTCTTCCTATGCCATGATCATGTTTGGAGAGCTACTGATAAGTAAATGTTTCAGCTACAGTTTTCTACTGAGCAGCGGGTCAAAGGAATAGAGAATTAATGCAATACAGCCTCTTCCCGACTTACGAACCAGTTATGGACCAAGCAATTGGTCGTAACTCAGTTTGTTCGTAAGTTGGACCGCATAGAGTTACACGCGACCGCGCTGTTTGTAAGTGCGGATCATGTTCATAACTCGGGGGTCGCCATTTACGACAGCTTCAGTCATAATCACGAACAGGTCGTAAGTTGACCGTTGGCAACTCGGGGACCGGCTGTATTCTATTGTGCTGGAAAAATCACTAATGTGCCATAAGTGTATACAATTCTTGCAGCAATGAAAGGGTTAAATAAGATTGCCTAATTAATTAGCTATGACATAAATACAGCCAGTCGCTGAGTTACAAATGAGTTACGGACCAGACACTTGGCCGTAACTCGAAATGTTCATAAGTCAAACCCTATTAATTTACATTGCAACCATGCTGTTCGTACGCATGGATCGCGTTCATAACTTGGGGACCGCCTTCATGACTGCTTAATGGGAGGTTTGGTCGTAAATGCGAATGGTCGCAAATTGACCGTTCGTAAATCGGGGACCGGCTGTAATACATTGTTCCCCAAGTTGTTAGTCTGTTTATAGTTCACTTTCTCAAAGAGTAATACAATTACTCTTATGCATAAGGGTTTTGAAGATTGAAACTTCACAAAATATTGCAGAAAGCAGAAAAAAATACAGAATTCACATTACATTAGATAAAATACATCATTATATCAGCAATCAAATATATCATAGATTCACAGAACATTAGAACTGGAAGGAACCTTGAGAAATCATCAAACCCAGTCCCCTAGACTCATGGCAGGACCAAGCACTATCTAGATCAGGACTACTCAACATGCGGCCCTTGGGCCACATGCTGCCTGTGGCCCATTTGTTTGTGGCCTGCGGGTGGGAGCTAAAACAAAAAAGTAGTCAATAGAATGGTCTTCTGTTGATATGCATTTTAGTAGTTAAATTCCTGGGCTGTCATTGCTCATTAAAAGTACTGACATATGGGTGGAAATCGGGTAAAGATCGCATTTTATTAATATCAGCACAACTGACTTAAATAGGGCCTGTGTGTTATGTAGACTTGACTTAATTTTTGTATTTATGCCCGACAGTGGGAAAGAATCTATTTGCATATATTTGCATTTATATTTGCATGTATATACAACCACACTTAAGTTGCAACCCTCGGCATGTGCTGTGAGTATCATTGTGGTCCTTGGGTTTTCCAGTGTTGACTATCCCTGATCTAGATCATCCCTGACAGATGTTTATCTAACTTGCTCTGAAATATCTCCAATGATGAGGAGTCCACAACCTCCCTATGCAATGTATTCCAGTACTTAACCAGCCTGAAAGGATGTTTTTCCTAATGTCCAATCTAAACATCCCTTGCTGCAATTTAAACCCATCACTTCTTGTCCTATCTCCTAACAAGAGGTTAAGAGGAATAATTTTTCTCCGTCCTCCTTATAGCACTTTTATATATATTTATATATTTTAATTATTTGCTCAGTATGCTGTTTCATAGGTATCGGTGCAACATTATCTTAATTTTTGTTGATGCATTAAAAGTCATTCATGTTGAACAGATTGCATAATAAAAAGGGTGCTTTGTCTTTGGTAAACAGATTTGACCTTCTTAAAACTGTATTTTGACATCTTTAAATCAATATTCCCATATGTCATACAATGGATCTGAGGTGTAATCTAGCTAGGCATCTCTCATGTATCTGTCACTGTGGCATACAGGTGTCCATATCTAGGTTATATTTACTATTCCTGTGATTGCACTATTTTGTTTGTCCTATGCCATCTAAACATATTTGTAACAAAAGAGTGACCACTAATCATGGCAAGGTGGGACAGATCTTTTATTGATTTTTTACTCAACTAAAGTTTTTACAAAGCACCATTCACTGTAATAGGAGGAGGCGTGCTGTAAAAATCTAGGTGTTTACAGTGTTCTTGTATTTCATCATCCTTCCACCCATCCTTTCCTGGACGGCTTACTCAATAAACAAGTTAAGCCAGTGAAAGAAAGTTAAGCAATGAAGACTACAGCTTTGCAACTGAGCTTTGATTACATTTCCCAGACGGCTAAAGGAACACAGGGACATTTCAGTTGAGTATGTTGGGCATTTGTTTAGAAATATTCTGCTATAAACTGATTTTAACTTGGTTGTGAATTTGTGTAATGCTTTCATTGATTTGTCTAAAATTAGACACAGATATAATCAGTTTAGTTCTTTTTTTCAGCTTGTCTGTTGTCAACATAAATGGGTGATTTTGTTCTTGTTTTCTTCAAGGTGATATGCAAATGAAAATTTCAAAAATGGTATTGTGCACTTTTACTACTGCTTTATAATGTAAGATGCTCTGAAAGGTTTTTGGTTTTGCTTTGCTTTTTTAAAAGAAAAAATTGTATTTTTTAACAGACACATAATCTCTTGACATTACTATTTTTACTGGAAAATAGAGACTCATAGAACTGGAGAGGGAACTTTTGCAACCCTCAGTTGTAGATGTGAGTGTGTTTGAATATTTCCTCAGCTGTTTGCCAATTATCTGAGTTAAATACATATTAAGAAAAACTTTTCTTGAAATAGAGAATTTACAGAACAGTCCGATTAAATATCACCTCCCAGTTGCTAAGATTTCATTTTTTTCTTGTGAGATCAATCTCACTAATTCTGCAGTTATCCAGAAAGTCTTCCAGAAAAAAAAAAGAGTAGACAAATAAGTGAATTTCTAATGTCCCCCCTCCAACCCGTTCCCCCCAAAAAAACAGTATTTAAAAATATCATATTCAACCTTTTAAGCAAACTTTTCCTTCCACACTTTGTAAGTGACCTTTTAGTTATTTTCAGAGAAAATACAGCACATGTCTAAGTTAAAATTTAGTGGTTAAATTTAGGATTGGTAACTTTCATTCAATATTGTAGTCAATGCTATTTGTTATCTTGTCAGAATTTGGGAATAAGGTAAAATTCTGTCTATGAGTTGCATGATGGGTTTCGGTTCTGTGTTCTCTCCACATATACAGAATTGCCATGCGTGTCAATGAAAGTTATGCAAACACAGGAAAAGAAAAATATGGAAGTCAAAGAATATCATAAGAATGTAAGGGGATATGGATATGTGGATTTTAAGCAGTCTAGTTATGTGAGTATAAGTCCCCAGGTAGACACTTTTATTCCAAAACTTAAAAAAACAACGAATAGCCTAGCAGCACCTTAAAGACTAACAAAACATGTAGCTGGTATCATGAGCTTTCATGGGTACAATCCACTTCTTCAGATGACTGGGTTGTACCCAGAAGTGGGTTGTACCCACAAAAGCTCATGATACCATCTACATCAGGGCTACTCAACTTTGGAAGCCTTGGGGCCACAACTTAAGTGTGGTTGTATATACATGCAAATATTTATGCAAATAGCTTCTTTCACACTGATGGGCATGAATACAAAGATTAAGGCAAGACTACACAATACACAGGTCCCATTTAAGTTAGTTCTGCTTATATTAATAAAATGCAATCTTTACCTGATTTTCACCCATATGACAGCACTTTTAATGAGCAATGACAGTCTAGGAATTTAACTACTAAAACACATATCAACAAAATACCATTATATTGACTCACCGCTGTGGAACATGTCCCAGTGGAGGCCATGTTCAAAGGATCCCATCCACTGGCCGTGTGTTGAGCTCCGTATAAACCCAAACTGCACTGTGGGCTGCAAACAAACGGGCTGCGGGCTGCATGTTGAGTAGCCCTGATCTACATGTTTTATTAGTCTTTAAGATGCTGCTAGACAATTCATTGTTTTTTTAAGTTTTTCCAGTTATAGACTAACTTGGCTACCCCTCTGAAACTCTTATTTCAGTATGAGTGTCTTTTCCCAATTTATGAGAAACAGGAAAAAGTAACTCTTATTCTGGAATAGTGATAGAAATGTAGCCGTGTTAGTCTGGTGTAGCTGAAACAAAAAACAGGACTATGTAGCACTTTAAAGACTAACAAGATGGTTTATTAGGTGATGAGATTTCGTCGGCCAGACCCACTTCCTCAGATCAAATAGTGGAAGAAAATTGTCACAACCATATATACCAAAGGAAATAATTAAAAAAATGAACACATATGAAAAGGACAAATCAAATTTCAGAACAGAAGGGGCATGGGGAGGAGGTAAATGTCTGTGAGCTAATGATATTAGAGGTGATAATTGGGGAAGCTATCTTTGTAATGGGTAAGATAATTAGAGTCTTTATTCAAACTTAAGTGTAAAGTGTAGAATTTAAGCATGAATGACAGTTCAGAGGATTCTCTTTCAAGTGTAGTCTTAAAAGGCCTTTGAAGCAGGATGCAGGTAATTAAGTTGTTGAGACAATGTCCTTTCTGGTTGAAATGGCAAGAAACTGTTTTTCTTTGTGATCCTGTCTAATATCTGTTTTGTGGGCATTGATCCTTTGGCGAAGTGTCTGAGACGTTTGTCCAATGTACATAGCAGACGGACACTTTCGGCACATGATAGTATAAATTATATTTCTGGATGCGCAGGAATATGTGTTCTTGATCTTATAACTCACTTGGTTAGGTCCAATGACAGTATCAGCAGAGTGAATATGTGGACAAAGCTGGCAACAGGATTTGTTGCAAGGGAAGGTACCAGGGTTGGTATTAGTGTGGTATGTCCTGTGGTTGTTGGTAAGAATCATCTTAAGGTTAGGTGGTTGTCTATAGGAGACGATGGGTCTGTCTCCCAGAGCCTCTCGGAGTTTAGTATTCTGTTCCAGTATAGGCTGTAGTTTATTGATAATGTGTTGGACAGGTTTAAGTTGGGGGCTGTAGGTGATGACAAGTGGTGTTCTATTGTTGGTTTTCTTGGGTCTGTCTTGAAGTAGTTGGTTTCTAGGTATTCGTCTGGCTCTTTCCATTTGCTTTTTTATTTCTCTAAGTGGGTAGTTGAGGTTTATAAGTGCTTGGTAGAGATCCTGAAGTTTCTGGTCTCTGTCAGTGGGATTAGAGCAGA